CATTCCATACCTTTATCAGAAATAATACCGGTTCTGTGTAGATTTACATATCCTGAATATGTGTATACAATACTCAAGTCAAACTTACAACAGACAAGTGATTTCAAACTTCTAAGTCAAATATCTCAGTAAACATAGTGGCTATTTACATAGTGACAGACATACAGTGACACCACAATGAATAGGAAGAATGCTTTTCAAATGACATGAGAAACATCCTGTAGAAAGTTGTAAGTTGGCCATTTAGACACTGTGCCCTTGACATTTAATACGTACATGATATGAAATAAAATTTCTAACCAGATAATCCCAGCATGCCTACCTGTTGTTGCCTTCCAATATACAACCCGAATATAACGTATCCTTGAAACAGGTGGTAATGATACCACAACAATTTACACATTCTACAAATTTAGTCAAATTGAGCACTTTACCTACTTAGTAAAAAGTATTTGAAAGACAATTTCAACAAACATGAAGAAAAAACATGGCATTTTATAGGTCTAAATATGCTCAAAGGTCAAACAAACAATAAAGCAGCTAATAAAATAAACCATCTTTTTCTACATTCCTTTGAACAATCAACATAAAAGTTGTGGTATTTGAACAACATGCATTTGTAGGATATCCTATTCGAGGGGACAGGAAACAAGTATCCAAGCTTATAGTTATAAAGGAAGAAGTGCAGACAATTCCTACAACCTATTACAGATTCTCCTCATGTACTTTCTATTTGAAGACAGAATTCTCAGCCTGACAATGGGGCAAAAACTGTCAATAATTGGCTTAGTTCTATACATGACAAAAGAGCTGTCGCAGACTAGGTCTAGCCCCACCAGGAGTAAACACAATGACGCATATTGTTCTACAGAAGTACAGGGGCAAGCACTTTGTCGCTACCTTTGGGAACCACCAGGCTGCGTCCAGGCTAGCTAGTAACCGCCACCCAAACTGCAAGCGACACAGACATCCTTTACCACTAAGTTGTACATTAGTGGAGAAACACTGTTATCTGTCCTCCTATTAAAGTTGGTACCTGGGGGACAGTCCATACAACAAACTCAGAAAGATCAAATAACTACTAACACACACCGTACATTCCAACCTGACCATTTCTGAATCTTTCAAAATACCCTGTGATAAGTTATAAATCTTCACAAAACTACAAATCAAACATGCTAAAGTCAACTCTGGAATACACAAGAACGAACAAAATTGGATCAACACTCTGATTCTCTTGAACAAATTCAGGTTCCAGAATTAGAAACTACTCAACATAAGCCTGACGCAAACAAGGCTTTGTATAAGCACTTTTACAACCCAGGAGGGAACGCTAACATACAAAATACACCCCCAAAATGACAAAGAGCAAGTATTAGCACCTACCTCCTGCCCCTTTACAAGGTTATACCAACTGTAATCACCATTAAAGGAAAATCATGTTGCCAGGATTGAATCAGTCCTGGTCGTTGTAGGTCAACTGTGAAGCTACGCTTAGCAGAGTCTCAACCTGCATACCGTAGATAAACAACCCAGGAGCCCACTACAGCTAGCTGTCGGAAGGGAGGGGCCTGGGGCTTCCCTTTTACCTGGTTCTCACCTGTTTCCGGAGACCTCTGGCTTTGCCCCCTCCCTCCTCAGGCCACTAGCTTGTCCCCACAACATCAATAACACTCCATGAACATGCTCCACAACAATCTGGGGCAATTCACAACCCTACATCAACCCACAGCTGTTCCCTCCACCAACTTCACCACAACCTGAGGGAGACACACCTGTCCTGTCCGCCGGGCCTTCACACAGGTGATTCCAAACAGGTACACTCCAGACACTCACCGTAGAGGTGTATTTTCCTGTCACTGCCTTCAACCAGAAGTATCACATAGCCATTGAGATCCACCATTTTCTGGGCTCACCACTCAGTGTTATTCACCCCCTGCGATTTGCATGACAATAGGCAAGAGGTGAGGCATGACTTACCAGGCCAGGAGTGGGAGTCCTGTCCTGCTGCAGCCTATTGGCTGAAAGCTTGTCCTTCGTTTGGTCACCACCTCCTCTCCGCTTGTGTTTAGTCACTAGGGCTTTGTTGACACACTCTCTGCCAGATTAATTATTAATGACGATGGGGGCTGAGAAATCCAGCTTGGTGCTATCCCCTTTTGTTCTCTACCTCCTAGGGTGTGAGTATGGATCGTTTTCACACCAGCACCCCCAGCTTGTACCTCTAATCTCCCCGAGGGTCAAAGGACACCTGCATTCCTACATATTGATTTCCTGGCCCAAACTCCCAGCATGCACTGCTGCAGCCGTTGCTGGAGACAGCCGTACAATGGTACACTATAGGTGTACAAAGGACAAATCCCACGCTTTTGTAGTTCTAGATGCATCTATGACATCTGATCCATCTTCTTCACTTCTCTAAGTTGTAAACTTGCTGCTGATATAGTGGAAATAATCTATCATTCAGAATGCTTGCTTTTCTTTTCTGCCTTCTTGCTGCTGTGTATTCCCTCTGGCAGAAGATGGATACCATCGGATGTGGTCACATGATTTGAGCTGGCCTAGTTTCTCTGGGCACATGGAGGAGGAGGAAGAAATGTTGCCTTCTTCAAGGCCAGGACAAAAGAATAACCTCAAATGAATCACAGGGTGGGGAGATGGTTAAAAAATATCAGGAGGATAACAAAAAATCAACTTGCAAAGTAAGGCCACACCATACTAGAGAAAATGTTCCCAACCACACCAGTTTCAATAAATCAATTTAATGAGTAACCTACCAACTGAGTTTAATGCTAACAGGTGACACTATCTATCTTACAGTTACATAATACACAGTGCATAACAGCTGGGAGCAAAACTACACTTTATTAACCAAAAAGTAATGATGTTTAATATACTTGTGTCAGGTATTGGAACACTTGAAAATGTATAGAGAGTTCGCTACAGAAAGTTTCTATCTATAGGTTGTGTAACTTCTAAAGCTAAACATTTATCCCTTAATACTAATAGCCACCTGCCATTATAATCGTATCCTTAGCTGAACTCCTAATACAAACCTCAGACGCTCCTGGAGTCCCCAACAAAGGACACTGGTGTTTTTTATGTAATCTGAGGTTAAAAGCCACTCAAGGACAATACCACACCTTCCCTATGTACAGAAAGCCTTGGCTAAACAGCAAAGCACCGAACACTTGAGTAAAATTGCAACCAATTACCTGACAAGCTTGCAGCGAAATCAGCAATGTTGCGTAAGTACAGCATGCCCATAAAAAGTGATTGTTTACTAAACATTTGATACAAATGTATTCCCTTATACAAATAAACAAGGGGCTAGTATTTCAGGACAATGAGGACAGCAAGTGTTCAGACTAAACCAGTATTTCTAGTAGCAGCTATAAGGACCGCTGTGTAGACGAGACCTAATAAATAGGTATAGACTCTAGACAGGATTTTAGTAGAAGGTGGGTTCTCAAAAGAATCCCATCATCCAGACATGTAAATTGTGCAAAACTTGCGGGAAGAATTGAACATCAAACCTTCTTGATCCAGAACAGAAACCCATTGGGGTATAGAGACTCCCTGGGTGTACTCTATCCTTGAAGTCTAGCATTGGTCATGGCTCAAATTAAAAACAGATGAAGAGTAGGGATTTGCAAAATATAATCATCTTGCAACTAAATAAATCAATTGAAATAGATCTAGCATCACATTCTTAGTGTTTTTATCAAATCCCTGCTACATTTCCATATTTAAAAATGGAACAATATAAAAAGTGGGGGGTTCAATCTCTGATTACTTCAGAGTCCTCACTTTTCACAGGTGGCATCACCTGTTTCTGAGTAAAAGTATATCCTTGAGAATGTTGTTCATGACTGGAATAGCATCAGCTTACTCAGACAAATAATAATCAATTGACATTTGCTCTAAACTTGATGTGAAAAATTTGACATTAATATGAAAGGCTCCGAAACAAACATTGCTCACCTGATATTTACCACCTGTTATCGGGACTTTGAAGGAACAGGAAGGATTGTGCTTTGATGTAGGTGGGGATATATTTAGATTGCAAGTGATTCTAGAGAAAATCAATTTCCTATGGTGAGAAATGTAATACATTGCTCAGCCATAAATACATTCAGTAGCTATAGTTTCCAAAATAAAAATTTGATATCAAAAGGCCCAGGCCCTTACAATAATTAATAGTGCCTTGTAGTAGTTAAAATTTCTTGGAAACAATTTTGATACCTTTCCAAAAATGTGACCAGATCTTCCTCAGGTCTAACTACTGGTACATGTGTATCACCTACAAACTGGAAATCAGACAGAGACTAAAACCACTGAATAAAATTCCAGTTGCCTGTCTTGAATAGTAATTGAAAAACTTCAACCAGTGCTCTACACATTATTTTCCTGACCTGTGGAAAGTTTAATGCCAACCAAATGTGACTTTTCCAGTCTACTGATTGGAAATCTTGGTCTGGAAAAGATGTGAAGAGGACGCTATCACAAGCATCAACACTACATGTATTTCATTTATAAAGACTGGGAGGAATGAAGCTAGCAAGATTTTACAAAATAAAAGGGATGGTATCAGATAGTCTCTCTGCTGCACATTCCCAACTGGCACTTTCCAACGGCAAAGATCAAATAAGAAAACAGACTGGAAACTTACATAATTCTTACCATGGAAATTCAGGATCATCACTTCAAAAGAATTCTGTGGAATTCCATGAGAGGAGAGGTCAAAGCCTTTCCAGCAAACTTCCTGCATGTCACTAAGAACTGCATGCCAACCTCTACCACAGGGACTTTCACATGGGCATTAGTCACTGCTATACCAGGGGTTTGGAAGATCCAACACACAATATCCATGTTTGGAATTATAGTTTCCATGTGTACACATGTATGTATGGGTAAAGCACATAACATCCATACAAGCACATTACAACAAAGTACAAAAGACATCTTCCTTGCAAATGACTGCAGTAAACACAACCTACCTGCAGCGATTTCGTCAACTCTGGGAGAGAAGCCCTCGTCAGCTCCGCCCATGACAGAGAAGCCAAAGCGTTTGTCGGAGGACAGGAGGACCAGCTCCGTGGAGACTTCCATCTCCTGAAACATACAAGCACACCAGTCATGGTCAAACCTTCTTTCCAACAATCACTAACTTTTCAACTGAAACTGGGTCAGTTTGCAAACAATGTGACTGAAGTATCCTTCCAGTTGAAAAATGGGTGAATGTACAGAACCTCTGTAATGGAAAGAAAGTTTAAGTCTTAACTATGTTACCTATATAGAGAAACATTTGTTTTTAGACGTGAACACACACTGCTTCTTTTCTGATTCCAGTAAGCCTGATTACTTCAAATGCTGAAAGCCATTGCATAAGTTGTGTTGGACACCCTGCATTTCAACTTGTTGCTGGAGGTAACATCTGTGTCCATATTATATATATCACCAGGATCCATAATATCACAACCCTGAAAAACAGTGTGCTTAAAGATATTTTTACTGCAACATACTTTTGGTATGCACTCCTTCACACATCAAATGTACATACCTAGGGTATGTTGCAGTAAAAATATCTTTAAGCACACTATTTCTCAAGGTGGCGATATTATGGACCCTGGTGATATTATGGACACAGATGTTATGTCACCTGGAACAGTATGATTAAATCTTTCTGGTATGACACTGTAAGCAGTAATGAAGGTCTTTATTTCTGCCATAAAATACAAGCAGACTGCCCTTGCTATAGTAGGTTGATTGCCCAACAAGCCTGAACATAATTAAACCTGGTTTCCAAAACACCAACAGTACTAATGCACATCATCTGCTGCTAATGAAGTGGGTGACTTCAGGCTGTTATTTTTTGGTGGTCATCATGAAATTAGATACTCTGAGATAAGGGTACCTAATAAGTGCATCCTGGGACACCATTTTGTAACAATAATAAACAGAGATCCCTGAACTTGTTGGAAAACACTCAACACTGTATCTAACATTTAACATCTTTTGATTTGTTTATGGACTGTTTCAGCTGTTATCAACTGCAAACTGCCTCTGATGAAATTTGCAAAATGGCAGTACAAGGAGCAAAACTTAGACAATATATCAGTGGGGCCAAATTCAGTTTTGGAGAAAATTACAGGAGACTATTTTTGATGATAAGCTTGGAAATTAAATGCGGAGCCATATTAAGAGTGTTGTAAAGAGCTTCTACAAAGGAACAGAGTATATCACTGCAGGGAAAGCAAGGAAGCAAAGTGAGATCATCCCAGCATGCAAAACAGTACATTCATTGCAGACAGGTATTACTTCAGCAGCCCTGTCTGTTGCAGTATAGTCATGTTGCATTCATTCCAACATGCCCAGAAGCATACAACAGCCTGCTATTTGAAACAAGGCTTCAACAGTGATCATTTTTCTCCCTTTGGCATCACTGCTATGTGCTGCATTCCTCTGGCAGTCTGCAAGTCTGAAATACTGTAATGCAATATGCAAAAATCCAGCTCAAATTCAACATGCTATTTACCCCTGGCTGAACTTTAACAGTCAGACAATGCTGGAATCTTTCATATAATTAGATAACAGTAATACTACACTAGTGTGTTCAGCTGTGATGTAACCCCGCATCCATCCTCAATCAAAGGACCAGCAAGCCGTAGGCATTGAGGTTATACCAAATAGTTCTGGTTATTGCCGTCAAGGCCGTTGGGGTAAAGGCACCTGTAAAATATGTTGGATAAAACTGAGGGACAACAGGTCCTGGGCCAGGACTGTGACCAGGGATGAAACTAGGAAGGTAAGCCACTACAGAAGTGAGTACAGGAGGCACGGGAGTGACATGGGCAGAAAGATATGTGTAAGGTGACATACCAGCAGAGTCAAGGTCAAAGTCAACACCCATCAGGGAAAGAGAGACAGAAAACAGCCAGCATGAAAGAAGAAGAAAAGAAGAATACAAAATTATAAGTGATGGGAAAGGACTGTAAATAACAGCCAAACGATTCAGTCAAGAGCCTTGATCTATAACTTTTATATAACACCAGCATGCATGAAAAGTATGCATAGTAGCACATACACTATTGATACTATTCAAAATATTCAGCAGCCAAATTCTCTGCTGCAGTGCACTTGAGGCTGGCATTAGTCCAGTGCATCTGATATGATAGAGATGTAAACATTAGATCTAGATATTGCAGTAAATACTACCTAGTAGAAACAAACTAGTGTTGTGTTTATATATTCCCTGACAGCTTTCCTAGCTGTGATTAGTCCATAAAAACACTTATTACCTTCAAGCAGAAAATGATTCATTTCCTATTGAGGTCAACTCTGCAGGGAGCAGAGCAAATTGTTGAGAAAATAAAGGCATCCTTTCCCCTCACTGTGCCACTCAACTAATCCAAAACACACCCTAATTTTGGGGTGACCCATGACTGGACTCTGACACTGAATGACACCCCAATGTCAAACTGAAGGTTAGTACTCCATACGCAAACTATCAAGAAAGCAAGAACATTAATTTTTCATTAGCTTCAATTCAATTCCACTCTGTAGATAAGAAATTCCTTCCTGTCTTACTTCCTAGTACTAATCCTAGTACACCATGTTTGACCCTGTATCTACGGTTGTTACCATTCTGCTTGGTAACAGTTACAGTATACTTATACCAGACAATCTCAATAATGCACTAATGTTGAACCCAAGTCCTACCTCTGGATCCACGACATTTGGATCAGAAAAGTTTTCCTCTTCAGCCCCCTCCATCCTGGCTGCTTAGCGTCCCATTCCAAACAAAGCCTGCTCTTCTCTGTCAGTTTTAATACCGTCACACCATTCAGATCCACAACAAAACTTCACAAAAGGGTTGACCCTGCCGCTCTAGTCAGGGGAGCTTCCCAAACCCAGCTGGGAGCGGCCCACAGACCAGAGGCCCTACCAAGAGTTTGTTGCTGTTGTGAAGTGAAGTCCAGAGGGGAGGTTGTGTTTTCCCAGAAGGGAAGCCGGCATGTGGGCTGCTGCACCAAGTAACACCAGTTTGGGGTGGAGCCAGCCACAGAAATGTGACAATGTACAGATGGTGGTGAGGGGTGAGGTGGGAGGTGGGCTTGAGGGACTGGTCATGCCTGTCTTTCTCTACAAATAAACCTTCAAATTCCAATTAGTAATCAGAAACTATCAAAACCTATTGGCAACAACCTTGACAAACCCTCTAACTCAGCTGCAGTGTGGAGACAGTTTCTGCTTTCTACTTCCTGATCCGGACATGAGGAAGGTCACATCATGACAAGCCAGTGAAATGTCAGACATGCAAGGTACATGGCTTAGAAATTCATTATCATTTTTGTGTGGCACAGAAAATGCCATTGTCGGCTGGAGATGGATGCTTCTGAACAAGACACTGACCAGCTCTAACTATACCAAGGCAATGAAACATGGTTTCCCCCTTAAAAAATAGGAACAAAATGTGAATTGAAAATAAATTGGTATCTCACTCTCAGGTATCACTAGCCCTCATTCATATAATTCATCATCCTTAGTACATCTTTCCACTTTATGACTTGACAAACAAGTCATTTTGTTGGAGAAGCCCTGTTACCACAGGATGCTACTACCCTTCTACAGGCTTCTTTCATTACTATAACATCAGTTCAGGGGAGGCCCATTTTTGTGTTCTTTCTGAGCCTTATAAATGTGGTCTGAAATAGGATTTGCTATGGTCCCAAGGGAGTGAGAGGGGATGGGAACAGGCTGGGACCAACTGTGCAGCAGATAATATATGAGGCAGCTGCTACTGTTGACTGGGATGGGGTGATAGATCTGATCATGGGCTGGTTTGACATGTCTCCTGATTGATCAGATTCCATCATACAAAATTTTTAGTGACATGCTGTCACGACGAAAACAATGTACCAGTTCCCTCTGGATGGGACCTTGATGAGACCTTGTGATTAGATTTTTGGCTCCCAAGGGGCTTGTTATGGTACTGCAGCAGAATGTCTGGTCTGCTTTTGTTTTGATATCTCATGGTCTGGACATGCTAGGGTCATGGATTTTTTATAATAGATAGCTATGGTGCTCAACATACAATTGAGCCCCATAGCAGTTTGTTCTGAAACTGTAGTGGCATTTGTTTTAAAAATCGACAGTTTGTAGATTGGCTGCGAACCTTCTGACAGTTCGTCATGATTTCTGCTATGTTGGTAGACGTAATGCTAACCAGGATCTAATTTGCATAATTAATGAGATAATTCTATAAATCTGCTGCATTACACAATAGGATTTTTCATGTGACATCTGATTGAGAATGACAGGGACATCAGCTGATATTAATTATGTAAATGATCACCTACTTTGCATTGCTATAATTTCATAGTGGTAACTGCTGTGAATATCATACTTGCCACATTTGAAAGTTAAGTGAGGGCGAATATCATTAAGCATAGTTATTCAAATCAGGACCTCGTTTGCAAAGTTGATGAGGAAATAGCCTTCTTTGGTTAGATAAGAGTGTCATTGGCTGGAGAATATGACCACCGGATATAATTGATGGCAATGAGGATCTTATTCAAATAATCAATGAGAAACATTTATTTTGTCAGTGAACAAAGGATAACTTAATTTGGCAAAGGTATGAGATCATTGAAATCTTTCAACTGTAATTTTGTACATCTGTACTGTCATTGATTTTGGCATGTTCCCCAGAAAGAAGACATCCTAGAATAGCTGCCAACCTTCTGACAGAAGGGCAAAGATGCCCAACACTTTGAGCCCTTTCATAAAACTACAGCAAAATATCATAATTGCTACAAAATCATTCAACTATTAAAAATTAAGTACAGTTTATGTGTTAGAAAGTAGCTTATCAAAACAGCTGCAATCTCAAACCTATAGGACCAGATTGGGCTTGTTCAGAGCATACCATCCATAAAACCAAATCTTAAACCACCATGCTCCTTCAAGAAACAAGGGAAAACTTTATCAGCAAGTTTGCACAAAATGATGAAATCACTGTCCCTGACTGTAGGTATGCACACAGTGTTACATGAGCTATCATGATTTGCAGTTCAGCTACATGCTAGGAATTACATCTCCCAGGATCAGACAGCTGACATGGTTCACTGGGACAACTTTTAGGAACAAAGGGTGCATACTCAAGGATCCTCCTCCTCAGCACATTCAAGCTCTGGTCTTTTTCTCTTTGACAGGAATGACCTTGAAGTCTCTTGAAGTGTCGTCACCCCAGACGGCACTCCTCAATAGGAGGGATATTGGAAAAGCCAGGTGGCTGCTTCATGAACCGACTTTCACCAGAATGAAGCAGCTATCATAATCAATGTTGAGCACAAAATATGCAGAGCCATTTGCCATTTTTGAACTTGAGCCAGTTTGAAAGGAAATGCACAGAGAAACCTATAGGGACAGAGTTTCCTTAGCAATATAATATCATTTCTATTATGATGATAGACGGCAGAACTGATGTAACTTCCACTAGGAACGTCAGAGGATAACATTATCAGTTCTAGGCATGCACCATTCATTTGCAAAAATCCGAAAGAAGCTTGTTCCAGGCTACAACAGGTGTTGGACATCGCTATAATAATGACCTCAACTGTAATCAATATTTACAACACCTCTTGACTCCAGGAGGATTACAGACATCAAGTGGAACAATTGGCCTGATCCAGACTGAGGCAGACTGACAAGGACCTGGAAGTGGTCCCAATGTAAGTATTGATTTTGATTTCCTCCTCTTCCAATTCAGTTCACGGAAAGTAAATGGAGCGAGTTATTGATCCGATACAGGAAGAAATCAATGGTACACACTGCCAGCAATATCTTACACCTGCTATCTAATAAAGTTACAGCTTGGTATTACAGGTCATACTTACTTTCGAATCAATGTTTCACACCAATGGCAAATCACTACTGGAAGGACCATACACTTGCTATATGAACATGAAGTTAAGTTACACCTTGGTGGAATGCCATAAAACATCTATTTTGATTCTATAGTAATTCTCTTCTGTTTTAATCCTATCAATATTTATGTAAAAATTCACCAAAGGGAAATGGCAACCAATGGATCATTGAGACTCTAGTGGTGTTGTTATCCATTTCATTGTCAAGGTCACGTACAGAAAGCACCACATTTAAATACATGCTCTTCAGCAGCTGAGAAGATGGTCCTCAACACTGATGACAGGACACCTATATACAAGAGTATGAGGGTGTGGAAGGGGTTTAATGGAAGGCTCAATTTCATAGGAAGAGGCACCAGCAAATGGTTCGTTATCTTGTTGCAAGACTCCCTGCCAAGAGATAGAAAAAATTGTAGATAGGAACATTTGTACAGCCACAATTTTTTCCTAGAATAGCACAATACTATCTCCAAACTTGCCCTGTCTTTGCCAACTATCAACCAGCCAATCTGGGTAGAAAACACAGGCATCCTCACGTTCTGATGTGTGAGCACCAGCCTGAAAATATTTACCCAAATCTGGCTGTCTCCCAGGCAGGCTGAGGAGGTCAACTGGACCAAACACACAGCCAAGTTTCTATTTGCAGATTCCAGCTGTTTTCCATCTCAGAGGAGCCTCAGTCTGGAGTAGAGGGGCCAGGGCCAGAGGTGGGCTCCAGCTGCCAGTAATTTTCCATTTTAGAAAGAGGGGAATTATGACAGGATGAGCAAAATACAGGATGTTCTAAAAATCTGAGAGGTTTTTCTATGATGAGAGTTCAAATATTTCATATGTTTGGACTCAGATAATCTTGATCCATCATTTCTCAAAATGATGGAACAACACAACTTCAGGAATTCCAACATAGCTGCCCCAGCCTTACCAATACAAAGCCGGGGCATGTCTGTGAGCCACCTAGCATGTATCCTCTGAACTGCATTCATCTGTGAGGCAGCCACCATGCTCACCAGGAGAAACATGATACATGCATATTTTGTTTCAAGGTCTGATGTTCCCACTTTAAGGTATGATCAAATGCTTGTATGTTTAATATGAAGTCCCTGTTCTATCCTTTTGATTTGATTAATACTTACCACAGAGCCCTCCTTTCTTGGAATCAGTACCCTGTCCTTCATGGGTGAAGTTCTCTTTCCTCCGTGCTTATAACTCAAGATTTTTCCAGGAAGACTGGATCATCTGGACAACACCGGTGACAGTATGGTGCAAACGCAACCTGGGGGCAAAAAAAATTGAAGTACATAAGTCCATACGAATTTCGCGGTCAAGTCACTCACCTGTTATGACACTGTCATCTATTGAATATCAAAAACTAAAGAACTGCAATGATCAACAGTATCATTATGTGTGTGTGTGTCTCTCTCTCTCTCGTATATATATATATATATATAGTTGAGAGTAGGATCAGTTGAGAGTAGGATCAATACCAATTGCAGATCTAAATGGATTAGAAATCCTTAGATGTAACTAAGGATGCACTCCACTTGACCTGAACATGCCACACAGATTACCATTTTCCAATAGTAGCACCCACCAACACAGTACCTCCAGGCATGTTTCCTCCTATAAACTGTCCTGGACTAACCAGTAGAGGTGTTCCTCATAGCACTTCAACAATAAGCCAATGCCACACAGCTGACCAATCTATAAAATCAAAAATAAGTCTTCAACTAAATCAAATATTGCTTCAAAAGTGGGCAATACCAACCAAGAGAAAATTGACTGCAGCTATCTATAGAGCCTCCTCCCAGCAATTGCATGACATCAGCTGTCTATGAATCTCAACGATGTAGAAGTGACCGACATCAAAACCCATTCATCACGATGCTCAGCAATGTAGTGGTCATTAAACTGCCATTAGGGTCATACTATTTGCATATTGTTTCTCATGGGTTGTTGCCTGTGTTGCAATTACTACTATATAGGATTCAGCAAAGTATAACATTCTTTCTATACCAATATTCCAAATGACTTACCACTACATACGTACATGTATTGTACTGGGCTAAAATGTATCTGCTTAAAGCTGTGTATATTACAGCAAAATATGGGAACATCCCAGTACTGTATGTCTATTAGACCCTGTTCATACCAGACTTATATAAACCGGTTGAAACCGCTAAATAATTAACCCGGCAAAAACCCGTCGCGTTCACACCAGACTTACAAAACCGGGTTTTCAAAAACCCTGTCCAGCGAATATCCAGTTAATCGGCCATTCCTAGGCTCCTCCAACATTTTTGTTTCGGTAGAGACCTCAATAGAGCCCTCCGCCCAGCTTTTTCGAATTCGGCGATCAACTCCTGCTCTCCAAAAATACGTATCGGGAGCGTCTCGTCCACCGACCAGGTTGCGTTGGCTGATTCCATCGTAAAAATGAAGAGAAACCGTGGAAAAACAGTGGAAACGGTCTAAACAGCGCGATCAAAAACGCTTGGAGGTCACACACGGCCAGGATGCTGACCCCGTGACCCCAGAATTATGACGCAAAAACCGGTTCAATAAACCCTTAGCGTTCAGACCAGGTTTTTCGGTGGAAAAACCCCTCAAAAACCACCTCCCGACGGTGGTTTTGGTTAAAGTAC